CATTATCCCAGTCCGCACCACCACCACCAGCCCATCGTGCAGCCCATCATCATCGGGACGGGACACGGACACACGAACACCATCACCCTGTCGTCCTCACCAAGACGCAGTACGTCACAGTCCCTCACGCAGTCGCCGTCACTTTCACGGAAACAGTCACCCAAGCAAGGCCTTCTATTCTGGTGCACAAGACCCACGTGGCGCCGTCCTATATGACTGCGTACGTGACGAAATCTCACGTACATGCCTACGTGACGCCCTCCCATGTGCACATCCAGGAGCCACACACGGTTCAGCCGGTCATCCTCGGCATTGAGTCGCACGGTTCAGGCTCTGACTGGGGGTGGGACATGCTGGGCCACGGGGCGCACGGCCATGACGACGGCGGCCACGTGGTGTATGTGATGAGGCCGAAGCCCCCCGCCCACGAGGCCACGGGCGGCGCACACATCGTCATCCAAGAGCAAGAGGCCTCACCCCACATCATGGACAAGGGCGTCCAGAAAATCAAGGACGCGTTCAGCGGCATCTACAAGATAGGAGAGGGAATCGGCAGCAGCGTGACCTCGCTTTTCAAGAGGGAAAAGGCGGACGAGGCCGAGGTGATCGTGATCGAGCAGCCCCACGTCGTGACGGTGACGGCGTCCAAACCCGTCGTGACGCACACGGTGATGGTGCAGCATGCGACGCCCCAAATGCCGGCCCACTTCGATGTGCCGAAGAGGACGGTGACGCTGACGCATCCGTATGTCTAAGGTAGAGCTAGGGATTGTACTTGCTCTTCAAATTGTAATTGTATATTATTATATCTGTAATTCCCTTTCCAGCGCAGTGTCCAATATCTGTCAATATGTTTATATATATGCATACATTTATATATTTAAATATATATATATATATATATATATATATATATATATATATATATATATATTATTCATTAGAATAAATATATATCTATGTATCATTTCTTTCACGAACTTCTCAGTTTTCAAAATCGTACATCTAGATATATGATAGTTCTTTGTGACATGCATATATTGGTTTTTTTTACAGGAAGTCCATCTCTATCTATACACTGTGGTTGGCAACGTAGACAACAGTGATCGAAGGGCATCGCCTACCGCAGTTTCATCATATTAGCCTTATGTTTGTTTACGATTGACAACACGCCAAACTGCGCTGTTCAGTCGTTCCAGGGTAATTCCGATGTTTGGTAGATCATTAGGGCTTGAAAGAGTAGGATAATTATTTATTGTATAGTTATTAAGGACTACTTGTTAAGAGTTATTTATTTATCCGCTTGCTTTATTTATTGCGATTATTTATTTCTCTGTTGTATTTATTGCAGTTATTTATGTAATTGCTTGTATTAATACAACTATTTTATACCATATGGACATTTGATTCTCCTTTTATCATGAATTTCTGATTTAAAAAATCGTACATACTAATATACAGTACTTGGTTAAAAAAAGGCCCTGTATTATACCGTTTACAGATGAAACATAAAAAGCAGTGTATCTGACTGTTTTTTTTTATTCATTTACTTTTTTTTCATTTTAATCCAAATGTATTTATGTCATCGTCTCACTCCCTACCTTGCAATAAATTCACGAGGACCCCGAAGCCTCCAGATTACTACCAGTGGTGCATAGAAGTCACCACAGCGCAGTTGCTATTAACTATATATAAAAATTCTAGGTAATATAAAACCTCTGTCGATAGTCAATCATATGTTCCTCCCAATACAAAGTTATTAGATTTGTTTAAGATTCGGCCCCAGCTTTACTCCAACAAAATCTCTCTTTGAAATCTCTTTCAGCGTGGACTTTCTAAAAACAATTAGCACATATTTCGAGTATTTCCTTCTTATATGTCAATCTCCTATTCTACTCAAGTATCTCCTACCTGTAAACATGAACACAACTCGTTACTAAAACTGTTATCCGTAAACACGAAAACACCACACCAAGCACAGGAAAACTAAAAAAAAAAAAAAAAAAAAAAAAAACAGGAATAAACTGACAATACTTCAGACGCATCAATCCTCAGCATCCTTTCTTATATACAAGGGGTGGCCAACCAGTCGATCGCGATTGACTGGTCGATTGCAAGCCTGTTTTAAGTCGATCACACTACTGTCTGTTGATAATTCGTTCTTCAGAGGTTGCCATGCAAATAGCTGCAATGGCATATCCAAGTAATCATGATAGTTGGATTATTATATTTCTCTTTTTTTCTGGGAATAAGTTATATTTATATTTATAATGATGTTACACTGTTAGTGACATGTATGGCTGGTAGGTCGCATCAGGGAAAATGTAGAAAAAGTAGATCATATCTCACAAAAGGTTGGCCACCCCTGAAATATGTCTTGATATTATAGCGTGAATAAGATCAGCCAACGTCAAGCACTATTAATAGTAGCGCTTAGATGTTGTTGACGTTGGCGAAAGTGGAATGCTACGTAATGAAAACCACAAGAAAATCTGAAAACCTATAAACATTTCACTGGCTGTTTTCAAATCGTTTTTGCCTGCTTCGGTTTTCTACCGTCACAGTTTTCCGATCACCCATAAACCCAGTTTTTAAGCCATACAAGCCCCTTGGACAGATTTCACGAGGCCGTAGTTGCTTAGTAGGTCTAGCAACTGACCTTGGGTTCGCGAGAACACGAATTCAAGCTTTCGAATCCCAGCTTCCACCCTTTCTCTTTGTGGGAGTAACTTTACCTCGATGTCCGGGATGCGTTAACTTCCTAGCAAAGATAACGAAGAAAAAGAAGATAAAAATTACTATAACTTCTACCTTGCTTACAGTTTGCTTCAGACCTGATTCGAAGCTTAGTGTGAGATTCTGGTCAGTTATTATGAACTATGGAAGAAGCAGACAGTCATAAATATACATCTGACACATCATCTTGCAGGAACTTCGTTCTGAAATAATTCATAAAAAACACATACTCTTCACCCTTTGCATTCTCCACAGCTAGTTAATCAAGAAATTCAAGTCTACAGATACCAAACAAATGGAAAATGGAAATTTAATTTTCATATGAGAAATCATAGAAACTCAAAGACAAAGGCACGAAAACGAATATAAACTGGCAATAAAAAGAAAAATACTTGGCAAAGAAAAGCGTGCCCTACACTATACAAATTAGAAACCCATAGTTTTTATATGGCAACGAGTTTTTTTTCCCTTACACACTGGGAATGATGTCTCCCTCTCTCTCTCTCTCTCACTAACCCTGTCTCTCTCTCTGTGAGTGTGTGTGTATGTGTGTCACTCACCCTCTCTCTCTCTCTCTCTGTCTCGCTCTCTCCCTCTCTCTCTGTTTATGTGTGTGTGTGTGTGTGTCTCACTCATCCTCTCTCTCTCTCTCTCTCTCTCTCTCTCTCTCTCTCTCTCTCTCTCCCCTCCCTCCCTCCCCCGCCCCCCCCCCCCTCTCTCTCTCTCATAAGCTAGTTCGTTAGACCCGTAATCACCAGGTAAACCGATACCCATCAGGTAAGAATGGACAGACTATTGTTTTCCGGTTTTGCCGCCCTACTGAGATGTAGCCAGACAGCCTGTACCCATGTGCGTGTGCCCGCGTGCGTGTGTGTGTGTGTGTGTGTGTGTGTGTGTGTGTGTAGATAGATAGGTATAGAGATAATTTTTCCCCGTTTTGCTGTTCTATTTCGTACTAGCATCCACAGGTTATGTAACAGCCGTCACCCTGTGTATGTTTGCCTTGATTAGGTGCAAAGTTGTGCCTATGAATACCGGCTTCAGTAGGGACTCGTAAAGTTATCCGGACTCGTGGCTTTCACATCTGGCTTTCTCTCATTCTGTTTTTCTCAGCTTCTTTCTGTTTCTATGCTATACTGGTCATACCGCAGATGTACTTAGGATATGCAAAATGGCCAGTTTCGTGTATGCAAAAGAGCATATTCCATGTCGTTAATATCCACTTTGCACAATGGATATTGCCTGTTGCTGGTTTTACTTTCTTACTTTCTCTCTCTCTCTCTCTCTCTCTCTCTCTCTCTCTCTCTCTCTCTCTCTCTCTCTCCTCTCTTCTCTCTCTCTTCTCTCTCTCTCTTCTTTCTCTTTTCTCTCTCTCTCTTTCTCTCCATGTCGTTAATATCCACTTTGCACAAAGGATATTGCTTGTTGTTGGTTTTACTTTCTCTCTCTCTCTCTCTCTCTCTCTCTCTCTCTCTCTCTCTCTCTTCTCTCTCTCTCTCTCTCTCTCTCTCTCTCTCTCTCTCTCTCTCTCTCTTTCTTCTCTCTTCTCCTTTCTCTCTTTTTCCTCTCTCTCTTTCTCTCCCATGTCGTTAATATCCACTTTGCACAAAGGATTTTGCCTGTTGCTGGTTTTACTTTCTCTCTCTCTCTCTCTCTTTCTCTCTCTCTCTCTCTCCTCTTCTCCCTCCTCTCTCTCTCTCTCTCCCTCTCTCTCTCTCTCTCTCCCTCCCCCCTCTCTCTCTCTCAACTTATTTTAAAATTCTTATTTTTATATGTGGTTTATCAGAGTACTTCAAAGTATAAGTTCTTTAAAGAAAATAGCAAATGTTTAAGAAAAACAGACCTTAAAGAAGATCGGGAATGAATAAAACAGGAAAAGGTAAACCGGAAATATTGGAAGGAAAATGGAAAATAATTTAGGGAAAATGGTTAATCCATATCGATTTGCGGAGCTAATAGACTATAATCCAAAAGGGAAATGGGATTTGTACCAACTAGATATTGAAGTTCCAGCAGCCGGTTCATGTTGCACGCCACCTACACGATAGTAATTTCAACGCATCGTAAGTAGTGAGCTGAAAGTGACGGAATTTCGGTGACTTCAATGCCGGGCAAGTTCTGATCCGGCGGCCCGAAGTCTGAGTGTGATTGGTGTAAATATAATTGTTCAAGGAAGTTCAAGGGAGAGAAGGAAGTTCAAGGAAGGGAAGGAAGTTCAGAGAAGTTCAGGGAAGGGAAGAAATATCAAGGAAGGGAAGGAAGTTCAGGAAAGGGAAAGAAGATTACAGAAGGGAAGGAAGAGAAGGAATTTCAAAGAAGTTCAGGAAAGGGAAAGAAGTTCAAGGAAGGGAAGGAAGTTTAAGGAAGCTCAGGGAAGGGAAAAATCACAGAGGAAGGAATTTCAAAGAAGTTCAAGGTGGGATGGAATTTCAAAGAGTTCAAGGATGGGGGAATTTAGTTCAAGGATGGAAGGAATTTCAAAGAAGTTTCAAGAAGTTTTCCAGAAGAAGTTCAAGGATGGGAAGGAATTCAAAGAAGTCAAGGATGGGAAGGAATTTCAAAGAAGTTCAAGGATGGAGGAATTTCAAAGAAGTTCAAGGGAAGGGAAGGAATTTCAAAGAAGTTCAAGGATGGGAAGGAATTTCAAAGAAGTTCAAGGATGGGAAGGAATTTCAAAGAAGTTCAAGGATGGGAAGGAATTTCAAAGAAGTTCAAGGATGGGAAGGAATTTCAAAAGAAGTTCAAGGATGGGAAGGAATTTCAAAGAAGAAGTTCAAGGATGGGAAGGAATTTCATTTCAAGAAGTTCAAGGATGGGAAGGAATTTCAAAGAAGTTCAAGGAGGAAGGAATTTCAAAAGAAGTTCAAGGATGGGATGGAATTTCAAGAAGTTCAAGGATGGGAAGGAATTTCAAAGAAGTTCAAGGATGGGAGGAATTTCAAAAGAAGTTCAAGGATGGGAAGGAATTTCAAAGAAGTTCAAGGATGGGAAGGAATTTGTAAGGAAGTTCAAGGAAGTTCAGAGAAGTTTAGGGAAGGGAAGGAAGTTCAAGGAAGAGAAGGGATTTTTGTGGTTCATAGGTGCAATACCCTCATAAGAACCCAAATGCAGTGTAGGGAAAGAAGGGAGAATAAAAATTTCTATAAAAGTTCCATAAACTTCAATAATACAAACTGTAATATTCTTTACAAATATTACTAACATATCCCTACATTAAATTATAATAAATATACATCCTACTTCTTCTCTTTGATAAGTGATTATTTACACACATTTTCACACCTAGACAACAATTTCCTAGAGCGGTTTTTAAGTAGATTTTTTCCCATTTTTCTCGTCCTTTTAGGAGAGAGTTTTATAGTTGAATAAAAAATCATGATCAAGAAAATCAAGAAACTCAAATTCTTTCTCTCATTTCTCTTGAGACTATTGAAGAATTTGAAGCGTTTTCTTGGGGAATGAGAGGCAGGCGGTAAGCCTACGATTCCGTTTTCTATGCTGTCGACCGCCGATCCCGTTTTCTATGTTGTCAACCGCCGATTCCGTTTTCTATGTTGTCAATTCCATTTTCTATGCTGCCAACCGCCGATTCCGTTTTCTATGCTGCCAACCGCCGATTCCGTTTTCTATGCTGCCAGCCGCCGATTCCGTTTTCTATGCTGCCAACCGCCGATTCATTTTCTATGCTGTCAGCCGTCGATCCCATTTTCTATGTTGTCAACCGCCGATTCCGTTTTCTATGCTGTCAACCGCAGTGTGTGCAGCCGGGCGGTTTATCTGTAAAAGAGGATTGCACACGTCAGAAAAAAATGGGAATTCTATATACAGATCCAAGATATCAGAGTTTCAACAAGAATACAATTTCTCTCTCACATATACATAGCGATGAGACTTTAACATCTATGAATAAAACCCAAACCGACATAGATTTAATGCCAAAAGCGCCCCTCTGATCCCTCACCATTTTTGATGTTGAGCGCGTCCATCTTCAGCGTGCTCTTCTGCAGCTCGAAATGCCCCTGGCCCGAGTAAGTCCCCTTGATGTGGGTCTGCGTGATGGGGTTATCCTCGTGTAGCGTTATGGTGTGGGTGATTGTGGGCTGAGTGTGGGGGTGCATCACACTCACAGTGACGGGGTGAGGCTCCTGAATGAAGACATGGGAAGGCGTCACGTAGGTGGGTATGTAGGGGGGTACCACGTGGGTAGGGGGGTGGGTCTGAGTCACGAAAGCCGTTACCACGGACGGCGTCACGTAAGTAGGGGCATGGGTTTGCGTCACGTAGGTAGTTGTTACGGAGGTGACGTAAGAAGGTGCATGGGACTGCGTCACATAGGCAGTTACAACGGATGACATCACGTAAGTAGGTGTAAGGGAGTGTGTGATGTAGGTTGTTGTAACAGACGTCACGTAAGTAGGTGCTTGAGACTGAGTGACGTAAGTAGTTACAGCAGATGACGTCACATAGGCCGTCACAACAGATGGCGTCACGTACGTCACATGGGACGTCTGGACCACGACAGAGGGCGTTGTGCGCGTGATCGTCTCCGTGTGCGTGACGGCGACTGGTTGAGGGACCGTGACGTACTGTGTGACGGGGCGAGTGACAACCACAGGGTGCTCGTGCGCGTGAGTCACAGACCCGATGAGGACGGGCACGTGGTGGTGGGCAGGGGGGTAGTGGGCGTGGGGCGCCGGGCCCGTGGCAATCACCACGATCTCCCTCTCCTTGTCCTTGTCCTTCTCCTTTTCCCTCCCGCGGTACCAGTCCTTGAACCTCCCGACGAACTTCGGCTCTCGAACCGACTCGTACTCCGTCGCGATGGCGTTGGACTCGACCCGACTCGAGTTTCCTCCTTCGTCGCTCGAGTCCTTCGGGCTGACTTGCGCCGAAGGAGTCTCGGGCGATCTCTCTCGCTCCGCGGACTCGGGACTCTGCTGGGACTCTGGGAAAGAGGTCATAGAAAACGGGTGTTTCTTCTTATTAATTCATCTTTTATTTTCTATGAGAATTATAAGGTTTAATGTTATGATGTTCTCTAAGAGGAGAAAAGGAGCTAATCTGAATCACTTAATAATGCGTAACTATTCAAAGAATAATTCATGATTAGAGCGATTGTCTTGAAGCGACGCGTCTGCTGACTGGTCAATTCCACGCAATACTTTTGAGAAACCTTGTTCAAGGCTCACCAGACGGCGGGGTTTCCTGTCGCTCCTTCTGCGCCGCATGCCCTAGAGACCTCGTACCTCTGTAGTAGAAGGAACTAGGTCCAGCCAGGTTGTTGTAGCTCGTCGAAGGCCTCTCCTCCGAGGTCAGTGGCCCGATCTGGCTTCTCGCGGCCGCCGTCGCCAGCGCGGCTGCGCTCAGCACCACGACAGCCCAGCCGTGGCTGTGGCGCCGGCACTCGAGCTGGGAAGGCAGAATCATGTGAGGAAGCTAACACATTCATTAAATAATTTTCATCATGAACTTGTCAACTTGCTGTCAGTCATCCACACCTTCCCTTCAAATAGCGTAGTATGTGCGTTATACATATATATATGTAAATATATACATATATATGTACATATATACATATACATGTACATACACATAAATAGATAAATATATATATATATATATATATATATATATATATATATATATATACATATTCATATATATACATATATAACACATACCTTACACGTACTTAATTATATATAAATGCCCTCGCATCATTGCATTTGCATACTGCACTGCACTTGAACGGAAGGTGAGGATGACTGACAGCAAGTTGACAAGCTGTTGATGAAAATTATTTGATAACTGGCAGGTGAGTGATGCTAATCACATAAAACACTACGTTTCGGACATATTTCATTCACCCAATTATCACGAACCTCCCAAGAAAATATAAGCTTAAAGTAATATACAAAAAAAAAAAAAAAATATATATATATAATAATATATATATATAAATATATATATTATATATAATAAATGGAAATAATATCGTTATACCTTAAACACGCCATGATATGCAATTAAGAAAACAATTAAATAAAGTAGACATGATCTACGAATACCGGATACTTTGAAAGAGGATATGCCAGGGCAACACGCCTTAAAGTGACTGTGGTTATGGATTTGCAGGATTGGATTACATGCGAACTCTATTTTTGCACTACTGTTGTTTGTTATCAAATCTACTGTATAATGTATTTTATTTTATGATGTATTTTATTAAATCTACAGTATAAAATTGTTATATTTTATTTTATGATGTATTTTTCTATATTATCATTACCATTGTTATTTTTTTTAAGGATATGTCTTTGGTGCAGAAATAGCGTATGTGTACCGCATGGATTTATGTTTGTATATATGCCATTATTGAATGTATGTAAATACATGTGTGCGTATATATTTTCTACTTACGCGTATTAAAGATAAGACAAAGTCTCAAAAAAGAAAAACTCACCGACGCGCCCGAAATCTCGAAATAATTTCCAAATCGGCAACTCACCATGGTCAGCTGAATCCAAGAATTTAGTAATTCGACGCAACGCAAACTCTCCTTCACGTAACTTCAAGCAGAGTCATCAAAGGGGCGTCCTTAGCGGAACAGCGTGCGATCCGGACTGGCGTATAGGGTAAAGTCGCTAGCCAGTGAACCATCTTTTCGTCTGTAGAGTAAGAAAAAAAACTCACCCAGGCTCGGTTGCCGGTGACGGATAAATCGTTATGTTTTTTTTCTCTCCCTCGGTTTACAGGAGGGTAATGAAATCGTTGAGACGGTGTCGTAATGTATAAAATCGTAGCCGTTTTTTGCAACAAGTAATAAAGCCGTATTCATAATAAACTGATTTACTTTCTGCTCATACTTATTGACATAGCCGTCTACCCAAAAGAAAGTGCCACGGTTTTTCACCCCAAAAAAGTGAAATGCTAAAAAAAGAAAAGCCTTATTCGACGTCTTATTTTTCTATGGGTTAGGGGCGAGTGGGTATGCCTGACTCAGGTAAGTTTTTATTCATCATTCCGTTTCACTGCTTGTATCTGTGTGCACAAACATACGTACATCTATACGCACACACCTTTACACGTCCCATCCTGTGTACACATATCTAAAGTGCGTAGAGACATCATGGAGATATAAGTCTGGGTATGATGCATTCACGTCAATGTAGGTATCTATCGATGCATTGAAGTGCTTGCATGTTTATGGACCTCACACTACAGTCTAATATGCATAATTGTGAAAGAAAAAGAGTTATATTTCTGTATGAGTGTGTTACCACACTTTATTACTTCATGTATATATGTATGTCTCTCTCTCTCTCTCTCTCTCTCTCTGTCTCTCTCTCTCCTCTCTTCTCTCTCTCTCCTCTTCTCTTCTCTCTCTCTCTCACTCTCTCATCTCTCTCTCTCTCTCTCCTCTCTCTTCTCTCTCTCTCTCTCTCTCTCTCTCTCTCCTCTCTCCTCTCTCTCTATCTATATCATATCTATCCATCCATCTATGCATCTGCCTTCCTTCCTATCTATGAAATCTACATCGAAATCATAGATATTGTAGGATTTTTAATTTTTTTTTTTACATTATACTCCCTCTTTTCAGACATTTTTTCGACATTGCATAACCGATTTATTTCATTATACTAAAAAAATGGTAATTAAGTCGTATTAAACATGGTGAGGATTTACTGAACGTCATATCAAACGCCTAAAAAAAAAACAATTTATCAAGCTATAAATTTGCTCCGTTAATTGTTGAGGATAATCAGAAAAAAAGAAAAAAAAAAAGTATTAAAAGTTAATAGAAGAAAAACACTAAAAAGTAACGCGTAATAGCCCGTTCTAATTGGGAGCGGCGGGGGGCGTAATATTACGTTCTAGTTGGGAACGGCGGGGGGCGTAATATTACGTCCTAGTTGGGAACGGCGGGGGGCGTAATATTACGTAGTTTACGGGGGGGCGTAATATTACGTGTCTGACGTTTAGGATTAATAACTGGAAAGTGTTCTCACGTCGCTGAAACAAAATATGCCTAGACATCTGTATTTGGGCCATATAATAATTTCTCTATGGGAGTCAATATTTGCATGTGTGAATTTTAATGGGAATTTTGGGAATAATTCTAATGAGGAACTGCGTTGCGTCGGAATCTTATTTTATCTGTAAAAAAAAAAAAAAAAAAAAAAGAAAAAAAACACATGTCTCAAATTACATTCACAAAAATAATTCAAGCGTATCATAATTCGTCTCTATAATGGCTTGTAATGTGACCGCATTCGTATGGAGAATGCAGTGTTGCCATTCGAGCGATTTTCCCGCTAGATTTAGAGCCTGTGAGTTATTATTTATCGGGAAAATTTTGAAGGTTTAATCTGCATTTACCGAATTCGTCAAAGTCCTTTTTCTGGCGGGAAAATAAGGAAATTTTGCGTCTAGCGATTTTCAAAGTCCTGTCTAGCGGTTTTGTGGAAATATCAATGGCAACACTATGGAGATATAGCAACTTAGCGCTACGTTCAGTCAAGAATTTTCACTCTTGATCCGAAACAAGTCTTGACTGAGGTACGTGTGAACGAGTTTCTTTTTCTTTTTTCTTTTTTTCTTTTTTTGTTCGTCACTTTTTCCGCCTTTTCGACTCTTTCTTAATTGGCCCGTTTGGCTTGCAGAGAGGGGGGGGGGGGGGGGAGGCGAATGGGCGTTGCCTCTGGGTATCCAAAGAGGGGGGGGGCGGGTGCATCCAATGAGAGAGGGACATAAGATCCTGAATTTGAAATTTATATTTAGATCGAAGAAAGTGTTTATCTCATGTTTCATCCATGTTTATATATACGAAATATCTTGTTAGGATAAGAGTAAACTTCAGTCTTTATCCCATATAATAAATGCCATTGATATGCAAAGATGATAATGGGATCATACAGTATCATATGAATATATATATATATATATTATATATATATTTATATATATATATATATATATATATATATATGTGTGTGTGTGTGTGTGTGTGTGTGTGTGTGTGTGTATTTCTATAAGTGAAATATTTACCTTATACAGATATATCTTATTTGAAGTTACATACACATTAGCGCCCCTGGTGGCAGAATGTAGAACGACTGAAAGTGGAAAATTTTATTTTATTCTCACATGCTCTGCCTACATACCCATCACCATGGCACCCACGAACATCCCAACATATCTCTTTTCTCATACTATTTCTCAGTACTAGGCCTTATTCTTGGGCATTTGGGGCATATAATATAGGAATTGGGCACCGGGCGTTACCAGACCTCTGCACGCCACTGATTAGCCAAGTGGTGTTGGACCAGGTAACGTTGCTGCTTCTCAAGGTCGTTCAGATTAGTATGGACTTTTTTTTTCTAGATTTGCTGATGCTTTAAGTTCGGTCTCTCTCTCTCTCTCTCTCTCTCTCTCTCTCTCTCTCTCTCTCTCTCTCTCTCTCTCTCTCTCTCTCTCTCTCTCTCTCTCTCTATCTATCTATCTATCTATCTATCTATATCTATGTGATAATATATTATTATTGTTTAATCAGTCAATTAAATATTGCCTATCTTACCTGCCTTATGCTGCTTTGCTTGACGGCAGACTCGTAGAGTTTCAAAGTTGATTGATAGAAATATAAACAAACAATTGGGTGTAAGTTAATATCTTAATTCATTCCATTTATAACGTATTCCATTTGTAAAGTAACAGCTTTGGAGTCTGATAAACATGCAATCAAACAATCAGGTTCATAGGAGATATAACGACGAATAACATTACGTTCTGCAAGGAATAACACGAACGCACTTTTGATCCGAGGCGGGAAATTTGAATTTTCAAGCGAGGCAATCGAAAGTGGTGTGACACGCCCCCTAATCAACATTACGGTAAACCTGTGGGGCTGCCTTGTGTTTCGTTCAATGTGTTGACTATTGAAACCCCTTCGGAAATGTCTCTGCGCTTCTCAAGTGTCCGCTGTTTTTCGTTTCGTTTCGATTTGTTTTGTTTTTGAGGGTGAACGGCTTACAATGTTCCCTGCAATCGGCAAATAAAAGCATTGGCCTGATTTTGGAGTTTTGAACCTCATGCATGTGTAACAACAATGATAAATAAACAAAAAATAAATAGATAAATAAATAACATATGGTTTAGGTGAAAAGACGAAGGCAGAAAAAAACAGGATAAATGAGAGTTGTTTGTGCGACCTCCACAAGACGGCAAGGAAGTAAGTATGTGATAACAAAACTCGGGGAACAAGAGTGGTGAGAGATACAAGACGGAGCTGGAAGTCTAGTGCAAAAGGCCTCTTTCATGTCTAGCCCGTGTCCTGTTATTTATGAAGAAGAAAAGTGATACGAAAGACAATGTTTTCTTGTTTTCTGTTTCTTGAGAATTCCAGTCAGTGCACTGGAGTGACGGTGTTAGGACTAAACTTCCGGAATACCGAAGTTAAAAAGTGCATATGAATCCTGAACTGAAATTCTGATGACTGTGAATTCATACATATCTGCATATGAGGAACAAGAAAGTCAATGAACAGCGCACAATAAACCCATGTTCCCTGTAAACTGCTAGCCTATATATCCTCATAGAGATAAGCTTTATATTTTCATTATAGTGGATTGTAAAGGATACTGAACACCGCATATAAGGAACATCTTTGAGAACAAGACTGAAACCTCACCAGATAGAACAAAGCAACTAAGAACCGGTCAGGAATTCAAGTCAGAGCTGGTGCTTTTGACGACGAGAATCCTACGGCTGGTGTGCTGCTTGACTTTGATTATGTTAATAAGTCTTCGAGATCAAACAGAAACTAAGAGATACGAGGAGACCACGAGCAGATTTCTTTACCTACTTTTGCTTGTAGATTTTCAAATATAGGACAAAAAGCGTACATGATTTACCTGTTACATGGAAAACAGCTGCAGGTTTTTAATCAGGTTAGGTAAGGGAACAACTCACATTCTAGAGTCTTAGAAGGAGGATTCCAGAAGAATACATCAATTAGGATGATGTTTAGAACAAAGCTTGCAAGAACCGATTTGTTTCTTATACCGATGGGTTTCTACCAAGGTCTGAAATTGAGTATTTATTTGTAATCTTATTAAACAACTATACTAATGAATATTCGTAGCGGGAAAGGCTATGGAGAGTTGCTGTTTCCCGATGATATTATCATGAGAATAAGATCTACAAGACATATATTATGAAAAATATGACGAAAAGCGAGTGAAATTTAACATAGAAAACGGAAGTAATCTGAGCAGTCGAGAAGGGGGAACTTTGATATCATTACAAAATTATTGAATAACAAGCTCTAATCGATATTTTGTGATAAAAGGAAGCTAAAGAAAATGGAAAGGAAAGAAATGTCAAAGCCCATCTATAATAAAACCATGTCATCAAGTTGAAAGTGAAATTACACAGTACCTCTACGGTATTTTAGACGAGGCTCATCAGAAAGAAAAGAAAAGAAAAGAAAAAAAAACATTTATTGATAAGAACTGCAATGACCATGGTTTGGTTTACAGACGTACTTTCGGTAAGATATAGAAGGGAGTGTGAGTGTAAAAGAGTTAAACGAATGACAGGGAAAGCACGGATCCGTTCCTTTGGACATGAAGTGAAGCGAAAGGATATCCTATTTAAGGACCGCCGTGGATGTAACAGAGATAAAAAAGCGTGTAGGATAAAGGATAAAATGACTGGAATATGTGAATCAAATGGATACTAAAACCCTATAAAAGAAGAAAGAAAAGAAGAATCAAAGGATGAATCTATTGGAGGAGGGTTCAAGGATGAGAAAGACGATGAAGAATCTCGAGCGAAGATAATAATAACTCATTGGCAACTGAAACATGTACTGTCGACTGTAGTTAATTTTGTTGCACACAGATGGCTCCACAAGAAAGCAACCCGAGCCAAAAAAGTGATTATCGATACTGTTGATATTGAAATTATGTTTCTTATAACGTTATTGAAATACAGAAATAAAATCCAGAAATCACGAAAAGGGTAAAGTGAAATTATATACCATCCGCAGATTTATAGAGAGAAGTAAAAAAAGATATTGAAGCTTGTGGAAGTCTGTGTAAGCAAAGATGAGAAACTAAGATCACAATGGACATGGCTTATACATGGTAACAGTTCGGCACAATGGGTTAATCATAAATGAAGAAATAACAGGTAATTAAACTTTCCTCTGATGTTATTTTAACTGGCTTTATTCCATAAATAACAGCAATGTGAATGTTTCATCACAAACATTTTGTTTAACCCGAAAACAAAACGGAAAATACAAGTAACAAGTGGAATAAATATAATCTTAGACGACAAAACACACAGATTATTAAGAGAAAAACAAGTAACAAATACTATAAATACTCCATAAATATTGTCTACAAAACACCCCATCCCCCCTTTAAAGAAATACAGAAAAATACCTATACAAGAAGAGTGAGAAATATTTAGGCCGTAACAATAAAATGGCAATATCAAAAGCCTACACGCTGGTTAGTTCCACTGGAGTAATGATAGACCAGCTGTTTCATTCTTTAGTAAACATTTTCTGTATGGTGAGTTTTTTTAATCATTTGAATATATAGTTTATTTATGTCACCAAAGTCTTCATAGTAACAAGACATCTATCTGTTTATCTATCTATATGTTTGGATTATTTGCATTTATAAATAGATAAAATAATAACAATAATAATGATAAATGAAAGAAATTGCCATTTTATTCTACTTGAATATGAGGTTTGAATGTGAGGTTTGTAAATCCAGGCAATGGACTTTCTGTTCTTTTTTTTCCCTTCTCCTTTCTTCTTTCCTTTTCCTTTTCTTTTCTTTTTTTTCTTTCTTCTGCCTTTTTGGATTTTCTTCTTCCCCTTTCTTTTCTTTTTTTCATATTCTCTCTTTTCTTTCCTGTTTTTTTTTTTTTCTTATTTTCTACTTTTTATTTTTTTTTTCCTTTTTTTCATTTTTCTTTTTCTTCTTCACTTGGTCCTTACATGCAGTGTGTACAGCCCGGCGTTTTTACTGTGAAAACGTTTAAATGATAATTAATATGATAATGCTAAGGATCATGATAATAATAATAATAACAATAATAATAATAATAATAATAATAACAGTAATAATAATAGTGATAAAAATAATGATAATCATGATAAAAGAAAAAAATATGATAAGAACAACGGCACTAATGATAATGGTAATATGCAAATGTTAATAGTAATGTGGATAATGATGGAAATAACATTGACAGGTAACCACAATGAGAGTGAAATTAACAATGTGTTTGAATATACAAACACTACGCTAAAAAAATTAATACTTTGTAAAACTAGGCATTTTGAAAAGTGAGTTAAATTGACATCTTGTGCTTTTGAAAGTATCTTGTGGCAGAAATTCAAATTCATTTCGGACCCATATTCAAAATTCAGATTCAGTTTAAACAAAATTCAAAATTCAAAATTCAGATTCAGTTCAAACAAAATTCAAAATTCAGATTTAGTTAGAAAAAAATAAAAAAATAAAAAATAAAAATTCAGATCAGTTAGAAAAACAAAATTCAAAATTCAGATTCAGTTCAGGAAAAAACAAATTCAAAATTCAAAATTCAGATTCAGTTAGAAAAACAAATTCAAAATTCAGTTCGACTCGATTTGAAAAATCGAATCGAACCGAAATTCAGAATTCAAATTGCGAACCAATCATCTTCCTCGTCTCCTCACCTGTGGCCGTCGTTATGGTTGCAGTGTAGGTCGCAGGTCTCGCCACGGTCATGCTCCTGCCGACCTGGAGGTGCCCCTGGCCCGCGAAGATCCCCTTGACGTAGCCGTGCACGTGGGGCTTCGACTTCTGCAGCATCACCGTGTGGGTCACCGTGGGCTTGGACGCCGGCACCGTGACCGTGTGGGGCTGGTGCAGCATGATCACTTGGGTTTCGTCTTTGCCGAAGAGCGACGAGACCTGGCTGTCGAACTTGTCCTTGATTCCCTTCCCCACGCTGTAGATGCCGCTGAAGGTGTCCTTGATCGACTGGATGCCCTTGTTGAGCACGTGGCCGGGGGACTCGACGACCATCACCTCGGACGTGGTCGGCTTGCCCCCCGACCCCGCGCTCGGCACCTCCTGGATCACGATCTGGGACGAGGCCGCGCCCCCGGAGCCGTGGCCGGGCTTCATCAGGTACACCACGTGCTCCCCGCCGCTGCTCGCGCTGACCTCGCCCTCCCCGAAGATGTCCCAGCCCCAGTCCGCCTCGTGCGACCCCATGGTGACGGTCACGGGCTCCAGCGTGTGGGGCTCCTGGATGAACACGTGGGAAGGGGTCATGTACGCCGATAGGGTCGTGTGCACCAGAATATGTGACGACGTCGCGAAGTCTTGCATGACTGTTTCCGTGACGGTGACGGCGACAGGGTGAGCAACCGTGACGTAGTGTGTGACAGGTTTTGTAATGACGATCGGTTGATCGCCCTGGCCGATGCCGCCGCCGGTTCCGATGATGATGGGCTGCACGAAGGGCGGCTGGTGGTAGAAGGGCACGTGGTGGTGGTGGCCGTGGCCATCCAGGTGGCCGCCGGTCGAGAGGTGGCTGTTGATGACGATGCCGGTGGGGTCTTCCTTCTCCGGCTCCTTCCCCTTGTACCACGCCTTGAGCTTCTCCATGAGCCTCCCCTTGCGGTCAGTCTCGCTCCCGGACCCCGCAGCCACGGCCACGCTCTCGTTCGCTGCCTTGGCCCCCGCGGGCGTTGCGATGGCTAACGGAGCCACGGGCGGGCCGACGGGTTTGGCCGCTGCCGCCTTCCTCTCCGCCCCTGAGGAAGAAGATGCCGTTCAGAAGATGCGGATGATGGCGGTTTACGACTAAGGAGGAAATTATACTGATAACGAGTGATGGAAAGGATAAATATAAGGAATAACGATGGTAACAGTTGCTTTCTTGTAACTATATAATAGAGATAGTAATAATGATGATAATAATAGGTTTTACCAATATTATACTGTTGCAAGTAAGGCTATTATCAGCTATTATCCCCCTTCTCCTTCTTGTTATCATGAAAGTTCAAGAAAACAATAGCTTCAAATTAGAAGCGGCAAAATGTTGAGATACGAAGCCAACGTTGTTATATAATATAAAAGGTATCTTCACACTCACATTATCATCTTTTTTGTGAACAAACGGAACATATTTTTCTTGATGTTTGTGAAAGAAATTATCAAATGGCTTAAGAATTCTAGAAATCTTACAGTGATACCATGTCAGTTGTTTTACTCACATCGTAACTGTTGATATGAAAATGATTCATTATTCCCGGTCACAAATCACGCCATTGGAGAGGGCAAGACAACCCAAGCCCCAAGTTCCTCAAAGTACCTCCCTCCTCCCCCATGGAGAAAACTCCGACGAAACCCGAGCTGAGCGCCCAGCCGCCCAGTCGCTTTCTAATAATGGAACCAGTTCATTTTGAGAAACGTTACGCCTGACTCACCGGGCGGTGTTGCCTGTTGTCGCTCCTCCTGGGCGCTGGGAATGGCAGGACCGACGGATCTCTCGCTCCTGTAGGAGAAGGAATGAGGATCCACTCGGTGGTAGTGGGTCGCCAAAGGCCTCTCCTTCAGGTGCAGTTCCTCCAGCGGGCGCGAGACGCTCCTCTGGTGGCTCTCCGACGCCACCGCCGCCAGGGCCAGCACGACGGCGATCAGCAGCAAGGCAGCGGAACAGCGGCTGTGATGCCAACGCTCGCCCTGGGCGGAGGGAGATTGAATCAAATGACCATGTTTAAGCCTCATGAATCATACGCTTAAGAACACACACACAACACGTAGCCATAAACAAACGAGGAAAACTGGACTAGGCCTTTTTGTGAGGCCATCCTGAGTCGCCTCTCGCGTTTTTCTTGATCGACGAGAAAATTCAGTCAGATCATGAACAGTGAGTAACATACAGCTCAGAGCAAAGCGTCTTTTCCGGAACATATTAAAATGGAATGGACGGAAGCTACAAATACTTTAATCCGGTCTGGGTTCTGTCATCGCATTCGCACACTGTCGAAAGGTAACTTTGTTTAGAAAACTTGACCTACTATTTAGGAGGAAAAAGATCCTCAGACCAACAAAAAAGGCGAGCTGTGTATACACGCATTCAAATATATAGTCTTAATGGCTAAGCTTAATTAGAGGATTTTATCGACTAGTCTTACAACTAAAAATAATTAAACATAGTAGACAATACGTAAACCTGCCCAAAGCATCTGCTAGTCATGCAACTGTGGTGATAGAAAGTAAGTGTGTGTGTGTGTGTGTGTGTGTGTGTGTGTGTGTGTGTGTTCGTTCAGCCTTGCCTGGAGCCAATAGTCTCTCCCAACAGGTCAAACTACCACACGAGCTGTCTGTAGTTTTACCCAAGGACCCCGGCATGTGAGCGGCTTCGGAGGCGCTAAACCTTTTTATTGATGGGCAAAAACTGTCTAGATGATTATTACCTTTTTCTCCATCGCCAATATAATCGGATGTTTTAATTACACACTGAGCTGATGTGTTTGTGTACTGATTACATATTACGTCTCAAAATAAAGTCGATTGATAGGGAACATTATCCTGTCAATAGACTGTTCATAGATGTGACGTTCAGTTAAATGTTATATGAATATTCCATATATGCCCTAGTGTTAAAAATATCGCGGTACTACGATATGTATATTATATATACATACCCACACACATACACAAACAAACATACACACACAAACACCCACACACATGATCCATGATGTCACATGATCCAAATAAGGAAAAGTAAAGAAAATAAGAACAAGAATAACGGCTCACTACAACCAAATAAGAAAAAATACGCATTTGAACTTTTTAGCCACGATCTCGCAAGCGTCCTCACCGAAATGGCATTACAAAGAACGTAGCATTACAACGAAAAAGCTTACTGGGTACTCCGAGTACAGTGTACTTCAGAGGGCAACGCACTCAGATAGGGTGACGGGAATATGGGTGCAAAATGTTGCGATTCCGGCTCCATTTCTCAAACCAATTTGGTGCAGCGAGTTAAAGAGAAAGCAGATGGCTATCGTTCACGCGAGAAAAGAACACGGCCATAAAAGGTATGGGCGTCTCTTCGTTCGCGTGGCTACAAAATTCCTTTTAATATTAATGCATGCAATACATACTGCGCAGATAAATTTAATTGGATATAACCTTCTATCTAGTTGTACGTGAAGAGAGGGAAAAGGAAAG